TCGGCTTTCATTGCTCCGTAAAATCAATGCTGCAAAGCCGACTGGCTGCCAATGTTTTCTTCTCATTTCATTCATCGTTTCTTTTTTATGTTTTTCCTTCCATAATACAGACTTTTTCCTAACCTTTGGCCAAGTATCAATAGCCGTTTCCAAGAGGATTTCTCTACATCTTTGTAATAATTCTTACGTTCTGTTATTTGATATAAAACTGCAGGGTATTGAGGCTTATTTAATGGTTAATATATTTGTGCATTTTCAACATTGACTGAGATTGTCGTTCGAACCTAATAAAACTCAGAATATCAAATTATACATTTTTAGGTCTTTCCCGGCCTTCACTAACGGCCACAACCCTCACCGTAGAACAAAAGCTACAAATAATTAACCCAAACAATACCATGCAGAGTAATGACAAAACAGCATAGCGTTTACCGACGCGGAAAGTGGATTCGGAGAGCATGGATCAAATTAATTGTTGCCCTTTTCATATATTCTCTCTTCAGCTATGTATGAAATATCATAGAGAACTGGCATCTTTAGCCTTGGCTGGTAGCCAGTCAAGGAGAAAGAATATTCAGATCCAAAATTGTGTGAAGGCAACGTAAAATGATTTTTTTTTCTTAAAGATAATAACAAAACTTATCTTCTTTTATGTAACGTGCCGTTTTAGGGCGAGAATGATCCTGGCTCTCCACCGATATTGAAAATAATTAGTCCCAGGAGATACTATTGGCTCAAATAATTAGTCCCAGGAGATACTATTGGCTCAAATAATTAGTCCCAGGAGATACTATTGGCGCAAATAGCTGGGCCAGGATGTTTTAGGGATTATTTCAATTTCTTATTTACATACATTTTTGATTTTACTTATATTTTATTTTATATAAATTTCTAAATTTCATACATTAATGGTTGAACTCTTTTTTTTTTCTACTAATTTTAGTACCCCCACCCAAATTCTACGAGATCTCATAAGGATTGGTAGGGATCTAGTGCACCCCCTCGACAACCAGAAAGCCGAGTAAAGGGGGAGAAGAATAATAAAAATAAAAGTAATAGCTATATATATATATAAACTGTGATTTACGTTTTTTTGTCTATATATATATATATATATATATATATATATATATATATATACGTATATATATATATATATATATATATATATATATATATATATATATATATATATATTATTAGTGTATATATACATACATACATATATATATATATATATATATATATATGTATTTTATATACACTAATATATATAGATATATCTACACTAATATATATATATAAATATACACACACACATATATATATATATATGTGTATATATATATATATATATTAGTGTAGATATATCTATATATATTAGTGTATAACATACATACATATATATATATATATATATATATATATATATATATATATATATATATATATATATATATATATATATATATATATATATATATATATATATATATATATATATATATATATATATATATATATATATATATATATATATATAGACAAAAAAAACGTAAATCACACCTGAAAATCGAAAGGCGTCCCGTATCCAATAGGAAAGCGACATCTCTGATCACCTAACGGGGGCAGGGCTGCGGAAATTCAATTGAAGGAGGAAGGACAGAAATGAGGGACCAATGAGTATACATCCCCTGGCTGTTATTTTTTGGGAAATAAACTAAATCAAAACAAGCCTATTTGGGTACGATTGCCAATGTTCAATCCAGAATTGCCAATATCCTTAAATACGTAACCGGCATCAAAATGTGGGCTGGGCAAAAGTTTTGTCCTATGCCCATATACATGTTTCTGTATATGGCACTCCTCAAATAAAAGAATTGACCACGTGTCATATCCTGCCTTAGGGGGGGTCGGGCGTTACCTTTATGTCTACTAAAGAATGTGTGTCATTCCGAGAAACACAGAGAAGAGAGCAGATAAGTGAACATTTTATTTGATTACATCTCTCTTCCTCTCTCTCTCCCTCATTTCAAACTTGTCACAAAACATTACATTGCATCTAGACACATGGTTCTGTTGTTAATATTTTGGTCTCTCATGTGGTACGACGTCATAGAACCGCAGCATGAATTTACGACCGGCGTCTGCTATTCAGCGACTGTTAACGTCGCATAGCAATCTTCTATGTCAGCATAACAGAATGCCATATCTGATGGTGAATATCTTTATTTAAATATCTGCATAACCACTCTGAAGATGACCCATGCGAGCCGAAAGGTTAGATGAATAAAAACACATCCAAATGTTGGACAAAGGTTTCCTTTTTTTCAACCGAAAATAAAGCAAATATACCAATGTTAGCACGGCTCATGACCAAACATAATATACATTGTCTGTTATATTTAACAATATATGTTTAATTAATGATCTTCTGCCCCAATACAATATATATATATATATATGTGTGTGTGTATGTATATATATATATATATATATATATATATATATATATATATATATGAAGAAATATACTCTTATGGTGTGCTATATTTATGGGATAAAGTGTTCAATGTCAGAGATAGAGTGTCAATAAATAAAAAATGAACATTAAAGTCAACAATTAGAGGCGACAGGCTGTTTTCATGCTAGACGCTATCGTCAGGCCTGACCTGACGATTGAATCTAACATGAAACAGACTGCCGCCTCTAAGTGTTGACGTCAATGTTCCTTTATATATATATATATATATATATATATATATATATATATATATATATATTGATGCATGTTTCATTAAATAATATAGACACGTTTTGTCTAAATATTTTAAGTAAGTTCCTTTCATATTTTCTGATAAGATTAATAACATTATCATTGAAAGGCGAAAGGAAATCACCATATTGATACATGTTTAAATCCAATCTAAGCTTTCGGCTTACATCAGCCATTATCAAAGATGGCAATTGCTTTTCAATATATCAACCAATGCACGGACGAAACAATAATGATAATCTGTTTTTGTTACGCGAAAAATTTCAAAGCAACGGCTAATTCATGTATACGAGACGCGGAAGCGAAAATCGCGTCGCATCTCGTGACGTCACACATGACCACGCGAGAGTGAAAACAAGAAGTATTAAGTATGGGAAGCCGTTTGTATAAACCAATCGCTTCTGTTATCAATTAAGAATATTTGTGGAGATTTCGTAGTTTATTTTGTTCAGGTTAGGTTTCAACTGTTTTATGTATATAGTTTCAAGAATTTTTAGTTTTTGTTTATTGTTCATATATATATATATATAAACAATAAACAAAAACTATATATATATATATATATATATATATATATATATATATATATATATATATACGTGTGTGTGTGTGTGTGTGCCTATAACTTTTAAAACTCATTAATCTAAAATCATTAGGCTCACCAACATACTTTGTAGAATCGAATCTCTTATTCGTTTACTTATATCGTTTATATAACACGAGGTTTCGTCAGGTTTATACGCTTTCTTAGAAATAAAATTAAAAACAAAACTCGTTTCCCGCACACACAAAAAAGCATTAAAAATTTTTTTCCGTGTGAATGTTTGGTAGATCAGAATTGTTCAAGCCAATAGTTCGCTTGTTTGCTTTTGTTTATCGGTATATCGACCTCTATCGCTTATTTAATGTCGAAATCTAAATATTTTGTACGTAATTTTATTTATTCATGTTTAGACAATAACGGTTTTAGTGATACAAAGCTTACTAATTAACCAATAGCTAGCGAGAAATAGATGGATCCATACGTTTCCCAAGGATATTTGCGTGGAAATGAATTGGAACTCTGCTCTCCGATTAACAATCTGGAGCGTTTATCCGTTACACCACCCGCACATCCAAGATTTCAGCAACTTATATTCCCAAGCAGTCACTCATCTAGGTACTGATCAGGCTCAACGTTGCTTCATTCATATATTTGTTTCTGTTAAATTTTACTCTTGTCCTATCGTGTTTACTCAACAAAACCACAAAAATAACAATATGATCATCAATGAACTACAGAATGTCTTACACTCCATTCGATTTATTCCACAAGTTTAGGCTTAATAGTCTCCAACTTGTTTTTTGTTATCTATACATTTCGGCCCGTTTTGTAATTTGTTATTATCCCAGAAAAGTAGACGTCCATCGTATGACGATAAACTCTAACTGCGTCCTTCGCAAGACGATAAACTACGTTCAGCAGCAAGGCTTCTGATCAGGAGGTTTTGAGGAACGCGGAACCACCTCTTTATTGCTGGTATTTCCAGATCCATCCTGACCCAGGGTGGTTGCGCCTGTTAGTGTCCCTGGCGACAAAACGTGTAAAAATACGTTTTAATACCAGCAATACAGTTTTATAAAAAATATATTACCAACAATAAAATATCTTGTCGGCATTAAATAATCCATTGAGATTAATATGCTGTATAAAAAAAAACAACTCCCCTCAAAAAAAAAAAAAAAAACCCAGAAAGGTAGAGTCTATTTTCAAATATGTGTGATTTTCAGCCCTTGTGTATTGAGTAATATGGCACATCAATCGTCTAAGTCTTTTGGGGGAAGCATAGAGTTTATAAAGGAGGAATAATGGATTTTGCATTTTGCCAAAAAAAACTTTCTATATGTATTGAAGCTTATTTGGATGACACTGACGCTTTTTTTTCATACCGATTGGAATCGTGCGGAAGTTAGAAAAAAGGTCAGTCAAAATGGCAGTTTTCAATCTAAATCCAATCGTTCCCATATACAAATCAGTTTTCCCACCAGAATACTGTGGAATGTGTTAACCAATTATTGAATAAGAACAAATATAGATTTTTTGAAACGGAAACGTCACTAAATTATAATTTTCATTAAAAAATCGTCATGAATTTTGAAGATTGTTGGATAAAAGCTGTTGTTTGAAAATACATAATTTAAAATCTTGTTTTAAGTTGATACTCGTATATGGGTAGACGCTATT